TCTTACAATACAACCACACATTTTTCAAGTCAGTGAGAAGAGGGCAAAGTTGGGTTCCCTCTTTCCCATTTCCCTGGATGCTTATTCCCAGGTGGACCAATTGCCAGTTAAATCAGGGCCACAACCAGACTTTGCTGGATCCTTCTCATAATATTGATTTCAGGATAACTCTGCCCTGATCCTGCATGTCTACTGTTCCTACAGTTGAGTTTGGAGAACTATGTCTACCTCATATACCAGCAACAGGACATATATACACTGTTTCTACAGTTGAGCAAATATTTCAAATCCTCCTGATAATTGTGGTTATGAATGCTATGGGCCTGGTTGTCAACTACCATCTGGGGATTTACTCTTGTCCGTTTTGTACTGCCACAAAGACAAGCTATTAGTGATCAATCATTGTTATCATAACCTTGTACCAATTTCTTGGCATCCCTTGTTCTAAGATGGATAGATCTATAATATTATGAAGCTGGTATTTTTCCAGGTGCTGGATAACCACAGATGGTGTTTCAGATGCATTTTTTCATATTCAGATTTGTTCTACTTCTCATATATTCCTTTGATTTGTTATTGATAGTTAGAATTTTTAAGCTAAGTTCCTTCATGTAATGTTAGTTATGACTCCATATAATTTGATTTAGTCCTGAGGGTATTCCTAAGTGAGTCGGTAGTCTGTTCATGGACTTAAGATGCTGAAATCTGGGGTTTGTTTTCCTGTGGCAGATGGAATACAAGTTGTCAGTTTTTAAGTTTTGCTTAATCATCCAATCATGTGATAGTTTATTTCATATTACATATGTGGAGCGTGGACAGGGTAGCAAAGTTTTAGAAACCAGTTTTTTCTTCTTCCTTCCTATGCTGTTCAGTCCTGAGTTTCTCCTTTGGATGCTCTCAGGCCACCTTTTGCCTTCCTGGATATGGTGTAACAGGTATGTTACCTTTTCTCTGTATCCCTGGTTTCATATGATTCCTTTCCTTCTCTTCTACACTTGTCACCTTCCTCAATATACTTTGTTTTGCCCCCCCCCCCACATCTCCAGAAACAAGGGTACATACTGACCAGTTTCAGACACAATTGCATACAGGGGCCAACATGCCTCATTCTTCCCCTCAAGTTTTGGATCAATGTGCCTTAGCATACCATCAAACAGATTCCCTGTTTTTGGACTCTCAACAGCTGGGGTGATTGATTCAGGTTTTTCTCTTGTGCCAAATTTACCACCTCCATTTAACCCTCATCATCCTCCCTTGTTACCTTTCCTCCATTCATCTCATTACAGAGGCTATCCACTGATCCCCCACAGGAGTTTTGAGATATTTGTAACCTTATTTTCTCCTTGGCCCTTTCCCTCCAAACATGTCTCTTCTATTATTTGATCTCTTGGGTAGGTACACTCTGTAACTAATGTGTACCTACCAATGACCTGAAATATTTGGATGTCTCCTTTTTTGTGTAATTAGACTCTTGGATATCTGTCCAAGTTATTGGAATCATGGGTGAAGGCCGTTGAATAACACTCCTCCATTTCTTCCTTGGTTTCTCGACTGTTGCAGCCTTCACCTGCTCCTGCTTCCATTCCTATCCCCCACCTTTACCTTCTTTATCCATTTTTCTCTCCTGTGTTTTGGCAGTGAGTCATCAGATTATTCACAGCCAAAACCCATGCTTCCAACAGTACTGGAGACCATCCTGTTGATTATGGCAAGGTAGGAGCATGCTTGGCTAGAGTTGTGCATCAATGGCACAGTTTCACATTGGATTTATGGGTGATTCTGGTACTGTCAGAAGGTTTATCCTTTCAATTTCTGAACCATCCTCCTTTGTCTACAGATCCAACATCTTTCCCTCTTCTGTGGAATCCTATATCATGCCAGCAGTTCTCCAATGCAGTTAAGACACACTTCTCAAGATGCTACAGAACCTCTAAGTTTTCCTTCTCAAGATTGTTTGTAGTTCCTAAAAAAATGGACCATCCTATCACATTTCAACTGGTTCATTGACTTTCTCCATTTCACCATGGAGTCATTCCTAAAACTGCATTGGGCACTTTCTCCTGGTCTGTGGATGATGAAAGTAGACATCTTGGATGCTTCTTACACATCCCTATTGCCCCATCAACCAGACGATACATTTATTTGTAGACAGGGGTTATCTTTATCAGTTCTATGTGATAACTTTTGATCTGGTGTCTGCACCATACATCTTTTGTTGGGTGCTCAGATCATTTCCTTGACTACTTCATGCATATGGTTTGCATTTCATCATTACATGGATGACTGACTGTTATTAGCTCTATCACGGCAAGCTACTCACCAACACAATTGCTTCTTTGAGAAGCAACTCATGTGAGAAGTCCTTCCTTTTCCTGACACAATATCTCATCCACCTGGGAGTATTTTCAACTCCCTCCTCAGTTAGGTTCAGCATTTTCCTCTTCATTGAAGGTCATTGGAGCTTGTGTTACTCAAAACCAAATGCTCTTGTACATTGTCTGCATGTGGGATTCTTTTTATTTTGGGGACATGAGCTTCTGTGGAAGCCCTTATACCCTAGGGTCATGCTCACATGTCACTCTTTAGTGAATGATTCATGATCAGTGAAAACCTTGCTTGGGATCCTCTTGACTATATTATTCATTTCCCTCCTTCTTTACTGCAAGTCTATTTACATAGTGA